GTTTGAGACCCGCCTGGGCAACTTGGTGAGACCTCATCTCTACAATAAATCAAAAATTAGCCGGGTGTGGTAGCGCACGACTGTAGTTCCAGCCATTTGGAAGGCTAAGGCGGAAGGATCGCCGGAGCCCAGCAGGTCGAGAGGCTGCGGTGGCTGGGAGCAGCCACTGCATTCCAGTCTGGGCGACAGAGTGAGACTCCCAAAAAAAAAAAAAAAAAAAAAAAAAAAAAAAAAAAAGACCTGGGCCCTGGATCAGCTCAAGATGTCAACCTGGAGCACATAAACCACCACATAACAATAGGAGAAATGATCCATGAAACCAGCGGCAAGAGAGAAAAGAGAGGAGACAAAGAAGAATGAAGTTTCCAGTTGTGAGAAGTAAGGGTGGTATTATCTAAGCTTCCTTTAGATACCAAGACTGGGGAAGAGGATGAGGCAGAGGAAACTCTCACTGTACGGGATGAATTTTTTTAAAAATGAACTTTGAACAAAGTGAACAAACCCTCTTTGTTTTTCACACTCTATTATGTTTTAATTTTTTTGTCTGGCAATAAAGATGGTTTTAGATTTGTTAAAAAAAATGTATCTTTCACTGCCTGTTACAGTTCACCATTTGAAATTAATTTATTTGACTTAAAAAAATGAAAATATTCCTCGTGAAGGCTAAAATAATCAGTCATTAAGCACATGTACCTTGTTGTAAATTTGTTCCATCAAATTTTTTTACCCCCAATAGTGGGAATGGGAGTTTCAAGTAGGGAGGCAGGGCAAGCTGTGAGCGAGGCACAGGTCCAGGTGAGGGTCTGCATGGTCACAGGGCAGCTCCAGAGAAAAGGGTGGAGGGTGGTGGAAGGATGGAATGTTGAAACCATTCCTAAGCTGGTGTGGACCTTCTCTAGCAGGGGCGAGGAAGGGCAAGCTCAGGGAGCTGGAGGTGACTGTCACAGAACTACTACTTGTTGCGTATCTATCACTCTCCCCTTTTAGGTAAGGCACACGATTGCCCAGCCTGGGACTACATTCTCAGTTTCCCTTGAAGGTAGGTGTCACTATGTGGCTAAGTCATGGTTAGTGGGACGTGAGTGGAAACGATGTGTGAAACGTCAGTGTCATGGCCTTAAGAAGCATCTTTCTTGTTCCTCTCGTGGGCTGGAATGTGTATAGGGTGCTGCTGACTGAATATTGACCATGGGCCAGGCCAGACTCAAGGGGATGGTAGAGTAAAAAGACAAGAAATTTCAGTCCCTGGATGACCGCCTGGCTCAGGTCATCTCTTCCTGTCCCTCTGTCTTTGGGCCGTTACTTGAGAGGAAAACAGGTTTACATCTTGTCTTTCGGAATCTGTTGCATTAGCTTAGTCAACATTCCAAGGAAGAGAGGGATTTTTTGCACCCTTAGTTTTTCTCTGGTTCTGGGTAATGGTGTTTTAGCCACTGTGGGAAACAAAAAAATAAAATGCTTTTTCTTCTTAACTTGGGGAAACAAAGGTGAATGGACGAAGGTTTTTTTTTTTTTTTTAACCAATCCATCAATGGCCATTGATGGAAACATGAGTCCCCCATGTCCACTCTAGATTTAAAAAAGAACCTCCTTACTCATGGTGTTGAATCCTGTCTACGTCTCTTCCAAATCATTCTCTAGACGAGGCCCGACTGCCTCCAGTGATGAGTAATTACCTCCTTCCATGTTCGAAAACTTACTAGAAAGTTCTCCCTCACATGAAGGCGACACTGTCCGCTTAGTTTCCACTCCCTTAGGACCGCCTAGAAATCTAAGCTTTTCATGTGAAAGCCCTTCACATAATTGCAGTTGCCATCTGTCCATCTCAACGAGGCTACCGGCGTCCAGCACCCATTTTTCCCATGAGGACTGCTTGCCTAAAACCGATGGAACCAGGCCGACCACAGTTGCCGGTCGTGGGTGTCCCGACACCAACAAAGCAGGAAATGGACACAACCTTTTCCCCGGCGCGGGCCCCGAAGCCGCCGGGAAAGCTGTCGCCTGGAGCCAGAGTAACCGCGCTCGGGGCCACGCCCAGGTACGGGGCCGACCGTTCGAGCCGCGGCTGCCAATCAGGGAAGGGGCGGGGCTTACCGGCGGCGGGGCGGGGGGCGTCAACGCTCCGGGACCTGGAACAGGAGCCTCCCCGTCTCCTAAGAGATGGGAGGCGGAGATGAGGGCGTGGCCGCGGCTGCAGCCCCGCCCCCAGCTCTAGCCCCACCCCACTCCCAGCCCCACCCGGCGGGGAGGCCGGGGAAGGGGAAGCAGGCCCAGCCGGAAGGGGCCCACCCCCGGCTCCCGCTCTCCGGGCGTCCCTCCGGCATCCTAGCAACCCGCCTTCCCCGATTCTCTCACCCGCCGCATCCGCTCCCCGAGCGCGCCGCGGGCAGGCGCTGTAGAGGTTGTTTTGGCAGCGTGGTCGCTGCTGCGCGCGGGGCCGCTGTGACCGGGGCCGCCGGGCGCTCTCCAGGGCGCGCATCCTCACAGCCCGTCGGCGGGCCCGTCTGGAGAGGGCTGCTGGACAGAGCCACGGTTGGGGATGGGTGGGAGAGGGAGCGAAGAGGTGGAGAGGAAAATGGCGCCAGAGGCAGTGCCACCTCTCCCCCGACTGAAGTCTGCCGCCCTCCCCCATGTTGGCAATGTCTGCGTGGAGACAGTAACTGTGTGCAGAATGGACGAGGCACCGACTCCACTGAACACCAAAGGCCGCAGGCCGCGCTCCTCCTCTCCCCGTATCCAGAGCATGGGCCCCCACCCCACTTCCCTACACCCCGGGCTGCTCATAGGAACCTTGAGTTTCCTCTGGAAGTCAAAGCGAGGGATGGGAGTGGGGGTGAGGGGAGGGGGCCGAACGCTCGGAACTCTTCGGGCAGCTCAGCTCTCCCTACGCGAACTCCCAGCCTAGATGCTCACCTGTCCTCCTTTCAATGGCCCTTTTCACCACCAACACGAGAAGTGCCAGCAGGCAAAGACCCAGGATGGTTGGGATCAGGATATGAAACTCTTGGCCTTCCCGCTCAGACTGTGAGCCGTAGTTGAACGCTCTGGGGTAGGAGGGAAAGAGACAGACAGGGAAGAAGAGAAGGTTAGGACGGGAGGTAGGTTAAGGAGGCATTCTTGAGTGGCCAGCGTTTTTGGAAATGACTTAGCTTTGTCCCTTTGTTAACAGAATTTGCTCTACTCCTCCAAAAAGAGACTTGCCCATGGGATCAGGAAACGTGGGCACAAATTCAGATTCTGCTTGATACTGGCTGTGTGATCTTGAACAACCTCCTAACTTCTCTGAGACTTATTTCCCCATAAATAGGTAGAGTAAAATCTACTTCTTAAGACTGTTATGAAGATGAAATAAAATAGTGGATATAAAAAATTTAATGCACCTGGACTAGAGCAAGGCTTATTAACGACAGTTCCCCTACAAGTGTTCTGTGCCTTAGTTTCCTCACAAGAGTATTACAAATATTGAATGAGCTAGTTCCTTGTAACTGTGGTAAAGAAAATGCTTTTTTCATAGTGCTCCCTCTGCCTTGAAAGTCTCCCTCCATTTTCTCTACCTACTGAAATTTTATTTTCCTTAAAGGGATAGTGTGTAAGTCCACTTTTCTCCCCCAGTCATGGTAAGCCAGAATCAGTTTTTTCATGCTCTGTGTTTCCAATACCTGTTCATGCCCGTTACAAACCATATCACAGGCTTGTATTAGAAAGACCTGGGTATTGCATGTTTTCATCTTTTTACATTTTTAGGACATAGCACGATGCCCAACACACAGTAGAGACTAAGAAAATACTGGTTGGGTTTACCTTCTCCATTGATAGGTTGGCATGATTTACTGAACTAGGAATCAGGAGTCCTGGTTGTATTTGAAACCACTTAACTCTCATGGCCTTAGTTTCCCCCATCTATAGAACCCAAGTGATGTTGAAGGTCCCTTTTCTCATGAACGTGTTTGCCTTTGCTTAGACAAAAATAATTCTGGTTATTACAGGTTTTCTGCGGAATCTGCTGTAATGCTGCCCCCTCGTGGTTTATTGCAGTACTTCCCTGGACTGCACCCCGGTCTTTAGATCAATGCTATCCAATATGTAATTTTAAATTCCTAGTAGCCACATTAAAAAAGTAAAAGAAAATGGGTGAAAAATAATCTTAATATTTAATACTCTAATCATTAATTTTGTTTTTATTCTCATTTAGTCCTTCCCTATCAAAACATTTGAATGCATCTGAGTGACTGAAAGACTTGATCTTACTTCTTCTGACAGAGTCAGTGTTGGGGCATCAACAAACATATTCTTGTTGATGGGACTAATGAGTTAATGTGCCATATTCAAAGGGAGTATATTTCTCAGTGGCCTAGAGACAAAACCAAGTCTCTTTGCCTGGGTTCTAGCCCATCCTGAACGACGGACTCTTACCTCTGTTTATGCAACCTGGTGTGGTGATTGTAGCTGGCTGTCCGGGACTTGAGCAGCCGTGCCAGAGCTGAGGTCTTTGAGGCTGTTGTGGATGGCAGGAGGGTTGTGGGCTTGGCAGTTGCTACTGAAGTCGCTCTGGAAACTTGAGGGTGGTGGGTGATTCGGGAAGTGGGGTAGAGGTGCTGGACTGGAGGGGCTTCAGTTCTTTGAGTTGGCATAGTAGCTACAGGATATAGCAATAAAAAGCGATCCTTTATATATACACTCTAGTCTCTAACAGGACTGAGTCACCACCTCTTTCCATAGTACACACTTCCCTTTTATGCAGACTGCCTTTGTTCTTGCCCTCCTTTTGGCCTGAAATGCCTTCTTAGCATGCCATCTACACCTAGTCAATTCCAAGTATATTTGCTTCTAATACCATTTATTTCAGGAAGCCTTCCCTGACTTCCCAGACAGATGGGCTTACCCTCCTCTGAGCAGGGAGGAAAGCCTCGTGTGCAGTTCTATCCTCACTCTGCCTCATGCTGTGTTTGTGTGCTTATCTGTTCTCCCCCATTCCACATCTACCAGTCACAACCTTGTCTGTGTGATCCGCTCAGTTACACTGTCCCTCTTGGCTCCCTAGTGTAATAGTGTTCAACTAATGCATCTACTTCACAGGGTATATGGGAAATATTACATATACAGGGTATATGATGGAAATATTATGTGTCAAAATGCATTTAAAACTGGAAAATTGTATCTAAAAAGGCACTTGTATCTATAAAGGCACTTGTTAGTATGATAATCATGAATCCTTTAATTGCAAAATAGAGTTATTAAAATCACTAGATGCCAGAAGGTAGAAGACAGGCCTACAGGGAGCAGGAGGCTTGGTGACCTCCAGCTAAGAAACGTGCCCAGTGTTGGTTTTTGCCGTCATTCATAAAAGAGCTAGATTTTGTGAATGGAGCACAAACTTCAATGTTTGTGGCGCCACCTGGTGGTGATAGCTAAGTTATGCAGCTAGGGCCTGGTGTCCGGGCTGTAGGCTAGACTTTAAGATATGGGAAACAGATGTTAGCGAGGAAACCTCTCCCAAGACAGGGAAACACATAACTGAGACTCAGCTCCGTTCTGCCAGCCACTCTATGAACCGAACACACACGCCCTCCTCCATGTTCACACTGCCACAACATCTCCCCCACCTCTCCCTCCCTCGCCCTGGTGAACTGACCTTTGTCTGTAAATTCGGAAGAACTGGCATGTGGCAGCATCTGGAGCCAATGGGGCAGGTGCGGAAATTTAGGAAACCATTGTGGAGGCTCCTTTTCCCAGAATGGCTCATACTGTACTGGAGGCAAGAGGAATACATTGGTGGTCTCTAGGGGGAGACTGAGGCTTGGGGAAGGGTCCTGTTGGTGCGAGCTGAAGCTGACTCAATCAGGATGGCCGTGAGGGAATGAGGACAGAGATCACTCAGAGAAGCAGAAAAGGAACTGGGTTGGAGGCTTCCCTGAAGAACGTACTTGTTCCTCCAACCCAGTCAACATCCCCTGCAAAACCATCAGAGGTTTTTGGGATTCAGGACTCTGAGCTGTGCATGAGTGCTGCTCATGTGTGGGGAAGTCAGTGGAGGAAAAGAGAAAGGCAGGATTATGGAGAAATAAAGGATGTGACCATACAGTATCAAGTTTGTCCTATAAATGCGGCTCCATAAATGAGTGTCTTTCCTCATTTCTTGTGGGACAATTATGTAGGACAATGAAGCCCTTTTGTTTCCAGTTTCCTCTGGCCTCAGAGCCTCCCCTCAATTTCTAATCCTCAGTCCCCTCATGCCCTGAGTGGGATGGGCCATACAAGAAGAGCACCTATCTTGTTCCTTACCCTCACTTTGGACAGTAAGTTCTGTGGCCCATGAAGTTACTTGACTATGAGATTTCACGAGGATCTCAATTATTATGTGGCCAATATGGCAGCAATATAAGTCTGGGGGACTGTTATAGTTAGATGGTTGCCCTGATCTTCCTAAGTGGAAATGTTTTCTGGGTGTGCTGAGCCTCCAGTCAGCAAAGGCACCTACCACTGTGGACATTCAAGGTGACTTTCTGGGTCTTTCCTCTGTTTGTCCTCTTGCCTGTCCCACAGGCGTAGACTCCACTGTCACTCTCGGTCAGATCTGTCACCTCCACTTGGAACAGATTCTTGTCTGGGCATGGCTGCAGTGTGACCCGGTCCCTGTATTCCTCCTTGACGAACTTGTTGGACACCACGGTACTGCATCTTTTAGAGTCAGCCGTCTCTCGGCACAAATAGATCCTCACGTGTGTTTCGGGAAGAGGAAGTGGGCACTCGATGGTAACGGATCCGCCCAGTTCCCCGTCCACTTGTATTTCTGGGAGGGTCCTCAGAGCACCCGATACTGCAGAGAGAGGAGATTTATGCAGAGGGAGCACCATCCCCAGCTGTATTCCAGCACCATCTACTTCCAGGCTTCAACTCTCTCTCCAACCTTAGCCCAGGCCCCAGCCCAACCTCATGCTCATCCCCAGGTCCAGCCCCATACCCATCATCAGCCCAGCCTCAGCCAGCCTTTGGCCTCGGCCCTATCCTCGTTTCTACCCTCAGCCTCATCCTCGGCCCCTTCCCAACCCCAACCCTATGCCCAAACTCTCTCTTAACCCTCAGCCCCAGCCCCAGCCTCTTCACCAAACCCAAATCCATGAGGACCCCGACACCAACTCCTGAGAAGAGAGTAAAAACTATAGCATCCACTCTGAGTAGAGGTAGTATGCTCCTGAACAGCACATAGCCACCATGTGACCTCAGCGTGGTGGCGGGAGCTGTGGCACAATCATGCTACACCAGGTCTTCCTTCCTAGTTTTGTTTGCCCAGGTCCATCCATCAGCTGTTCATCCACAGTTCTTTTATTAGATCATTCGACGAGTGTCTATTAAGTGCCCTTCCTGTGACAGTAAGCTAGCAGGCTTCCCTCCCTCAGCACGAATCATTTGGTGAGTTATACTCATCAGCAGTCTCTCCGGCAGAGAGGAGATACCATGGGCAGTGTGATACTTCCCATGGCAGAGCTGGCAAGGGGTTTCTTGGAGGGAGGGAGTCTGGCCACCTGATCCAGGTTGTTGCAGGGGTGAGACAGTTGGAGGAAGGTTTTCTGGGAGAAGCAATGTCTGAGTTGTGACCTGAAGGAATGGGTGTGGAGGACAACTGAGAGAGGGACAAGGCTCACCATAGACATAAGGAACACAGGAGGGAAAGCAAGAGTGTGCACAAGTGGGTGTGCATAAGTGCACGGTTGTGCACATGCTATGTGTGTGTTGGGGAGGCTGTGGAGCAGAGAGGGATAAAGGGTGTGAATCATGAGTTCCTGACATTGAAAAGCATATGCTTTGGGTGAAGAAGGCAGGTCTAATGCAGCTGAGCCAGCTACAGAAGGGGATAAGGCCATGTATGACTGTCAACTTAAGTGACTCTAAAGGATGCAGTACTGTGGTGTCCAACAAGTTTGTCAAGGAGAAATACAGGGACCGGGTCACACTGCAGCCATGCCCAGACAAGACTCTGTTCTAATAAGTGTCTGCATATTTCTGGGAAGAGGGTTCATAGAGTAAAGTGTGTGTGAGTTGAGCTGGGCTGGAGGAGCAGAGAGTTTTCCAGAAGCAAGAACAGTCCTCACAAAGGCTAGGATGTGAGAGAGAATATAGCATATCCACAGGTGGAGAGAGGTTTTCTAGCTTACTGAGATTTATCTGCAGACTCTGCATTAAGGATAGCTCCAAGGAGTTTTGTCAAATGAGTCAGGGAAAGCTTAGGAAAGAGGCAGGGCTTGGGGCTTCTTGCTAAGGACATTCCAGGTAGAGGGAAACATTTTGGCAAGGGCAGAGGTAGAAACAACCAAGGGATCAGAAATGGGAGTGGAGAGGGCAGAGAGGGACTGGAAAGGGAGCATTTACTGAACATGCTGAGATCTGACAGTGTGGCTGTTGTTAACATGGTAGGGAGAGGCAGAGGAGCCAGCCAGAGACACGAGACCTGACGTGGAAATCCTCACATGGAAAACCCAACACTGCTTTAAAACTGCTAGAAACTGAGTCATAAGGTAGCCTCATGACTACAACACAGAAATGGATGGGTGACCCATCCACAAAATCCTGGTCAAAGGACAAAGTCACCCTCAAGGAGGTGGAAGGATCACCCTATGCATCCAGATAGCCCCCACTGGCATGGGCAGCTGACTGCCAAGGGTGGAAGTGCAGGGAAGTGTTTGAGTAAGACTGAATCAGCTAGGAAGGGGCTGTGAATGCTGCTTTCCCAAGAGCCAGATGTTACCAAATGGGCAGGGGCATGTCAGAGCATCGCCATGCGGACACCTCCAGTGGCCTCAGTCTGCTCTGGTCGACAAGGAAGCAGTAGCTGTTGTGTGAAAATGACCAGACTCAAAAAGAAAAGTGACCAGTTTTCCTTGAGTTCATTGTAAACTCTAACCTATATCCAAGACTTAGAAAAACAGATTTCCAAAACAGAGGAAAGGTAGATCCATGCACACGAGACTCCTCTGAAGGGAACTCCCTAAGGTGAAGATGACTTGGTCCTGCCCTGAGGCATGGTGATTCCACCGTCTAGGACAGGGTCTGTCAATCTGTGTTTTTCAAGCCAGCATGACTGGTGGCATTTCTGCAGTTCTGAGATGTATAACCACATTTACAACTGATTCTGGGGAAGAATGGGAGTGGCGAGAGAAGGTGTCTAAATGAACCAACCTGTTCAATAGTAATATTTTAGAGGCTACTAAGGAAGTGACATTCATCTCTAAATTGGGGACTGGATTTTCAGTGGTGATGGTAGAGGAGAGAGAAATAAGAGATTTAAAAAGCCCCTCCCAATATATTATTGGATGTAAAGAGATGTTTGGAACATGGGGAAAAAATCCTATAATTTTCGTAATGCAAAACAAGGTCAAGTCCCTGGGGCCTTGGTGGCTGGGGATGCTCTGGAGATAGACTGACTTCCACTTAGCAGTGACCTTCTAGATGGGCCTGGAGATGAGGACCAGATCACCTCAAATCAGAACAGAATCTTGAAAAGAAGAGATTGTTATGTTTATCAAAAGGAGCATATATATATTTTTTAAAGATGAGAAACACGGCACTCAGCTTCCCACTTTTCTTGTACAGCCACCTGGTGTTTTCAGTCCTGCTGCCTGTCAGAATGAGTGAAGTGTCCGTCCCTCTACCTGTGTTCCCAGTCTGTTGGCTCACCTGTTTTAGAATGTCTCATCTGCAGTAATCCCTTTTGTCTCCCTGATCATTGGTTTCTCCTTCTCCTCTAGTATTGCCATAGCTTACACACATTCTCTGGTACTGCCTATCTTGACTGATTGATTTTGATTGATTGAGCTGGAGTCTTGCTCTGTCACCCAGGCTGGGGTACAGTGGCATGATCTAGCTTCTGCTCATCGTCTTCCTCTTTTCATCCCTGGCTTCTCCTGCATCACATGGGTCCTGGTATATCCATAGTAGACACCCTAGCTTGCAAGTACAGTTTCTGTCCACCCCCACCTTCTTCCCAAATAGCCACCTGTGGCCACCCTTTTATAGATCAGTTGTCAGTCTCAACCACAGCCTCAACCTCCTTTGCTCAGGTGATCCTTCCTTCCCAGCCTCCCAAGCAGCTGGGACTACAGGTGTAAGCCACCACTCTTGGCTAACGTTTCTATTTTTTGTAGAGATGAGGTCTTGCTTTGTTGCCTAGGCTGGTGTCGATCTCCTGGGCTCAAGTGATCCTTGTGCCTTGGCCTCCGGAAGTGTTGAGATTACAGGTGGGAGCCACTGTGCCTAGCCTGCCCATCTTTAAAGACCCCTCAGTTGACCATTTCTCTCCCTTCCACCTGCCAACCCACTTCCCTGCTTTCTTTTTCAAACCAGTCTTCAAGCTCAGTAAATCAAATTCAATCCCATACCCTCCAATTTCTCTTCAATCTTCTCGCATCAGAATTTCATCTCCAACGTCCTACAGAAACCGCTCCTGTCAAGTTACCAAAGTTGCTCTGTTGCCACATTTAGTGGAAACTTTTGTCTTCATCTCTTCACCATTTCAGTGGCAGTTGGCAGAATGGAAACCACCTTGTCTGACTTTCCTGGTACACAGTCTCAACGGCTAGTTCTTGTCAGTCTTTGCTCTTACTCTCCTTCTCTCTCTCCTCTCAAAGTTAGGCTGGCCCAGGGACTGCAACTCAGGCCTGCTCTTTTCTCTGTCCTCCTTTTCCCCTCCTCTTGCTAGCTAGTTTTCTCTGTGACTTTTAATGTTGACTGTCTGTAGGTTTCACTAAAATGTGATCTCAGCTATACCTTTACCTCTGAGCTCCAGACTTGCCTCTCTGACATTTCTACTTGGACTCCACCTTGAACATTTAAGACATTCCAAGCTTCCAATGGCCAGAAAAAAACTCTTAATTTCTCCTCAAAAACCTATTATTTTGCACATTCTTCCAATGATCCCATCATCCACCCAAACACATCCCATGTTAAAGAACCAAATAATGTGTATTTGGTTGATGACCTCCAAATACACATTGATGACCTCCAAACACATCCCATGTTAAAGAACCAAATAATGTGTATGTGTGTGCCTGTGTGTGTACTGGATCGCAACATCAAGTACATGTATATGTGAAGTATTATTATGGGTCAAGGTAAAAAAAGGCTGGAATCCTACCGATAGGATACTGACTTGCTTGATGATGGAACTCCACATATGGCTCCAGAGAGTATGGTCTAGAGCTTGTGTCTGATATGCTGGGCCCTGGGGATCAGGCCCACTCCAACATTTACAGGACCTTGGGCAGGAGTACAAATGAAGGCCCAGATGCCATATGTCGAAATACTTTAAAGTTATAAATCAAGCAAATAAACTGTTGAATAAAATATGCTTTATTCTCCTAGCTTGACAGAGGTACACCCTCCTCTCATGTTCACTCTAACACCTGGTGTGCAGGGAAAATCGTCCCAGGCTTCCTGTCTCTAGCCTCTGCTCATTGCCTTCTTCTTTTCATCCCTGGTTCCTCCCGCATCACACAGGTCCTGGTATATCCATAGTAGACACCCTAGCTTGCAAATACAGTCTCTGTCCACCCCCATCTTCTTCCCAAATAGCCACCTGTGGTCACCCTTTTATAGGTCAGTTGTCAATCTCAAGAGGAAAACCCGGGTTAGAAGCATACAGTCATGAGATGGTAGGCCTAGAGACACTTGGACAGGGAATTTCAGTTCTAGAAGACGGGGTGTGGGCATGAGCCTGGGATAGGAACATTCCCCCTGGACCTGTAAACTCCTCACTCTGTGGGGATGGGCATGAAAGGTGGACAATGCCGACGGCAGTGGCTCACACCCATAATCCCAGCACTCTGGAAGACTGAGGGGAGAGGATTGCCTGAGCCCAGTAGTTTGAGACCAGCCTGGGCAACTTGGCGAGACCTCACTTCTACAACAAATTTTTAAAAAAAATTAGTCGGACATGGTGGTGCACACCTGTAGTTCTGGTTACTTGGAATGCTGAGGCGGAAGGATTGCCTGAGCCCAGCAAGTCGAGGCTGCAGAAGCCGTGAGCATGACATGACATTGCACTCCAACCGGAAGGATTGCCTGAACCCCGCAAGTCGAGGCTGCAGAAGTCGTGAGCATGACATTGCACTCCAACCTGGGCAGCAGAGTGAGACTCTGACTCAAAAAAAACCAAGGCTGGACCCAAGCCCTCTCTGGCCCATCTAGAATGATGGTACTGCTCAGGTCAGACCAAGACAGTGCAATTCAGGGGGCCTTTTCTCCTCTAAGTCTTCCATTCCCTCCCAACTCCTCTCCTCCTCAGGTTTACGTTTAGTTATCCATCCACAGTGCCTGCATATCTCCTACCACCTCTCACAGTGTCTGACATTTCATTCAAACTCCATTCCTTTGGGCTTTTAAGATTTTCAATTTTCAGCTCAACAACTATTTGAGTTTCTTCCATATTCAAGACATCACAAAGAAAGCAAATAAGAATATGAAAACATTTTGACCCTGTACGAGCTTATTATTGAATAAACCAGATGAAAACACACTGAACACTCTACAAGGTGGAATATGATCGGCTATTAGGGTTCCGCAGAGGGAGCTCAGGAACATCCATAGGAAGGAGGTGAAGTTTGAGATGGACTTTGAAGAATCTATAAAAGGTGAAGGTGAAAGGGAGGGTGATCCTGGCAGAAGGCATAGCATGAGCAGGGGCATGGTAGTAGGAATGTGTGGCCTATGTGCCATGAGGAGTCCTGTGGCTGGAGGTTAGGAAAGTGCTGGGGAGTGCGGTAGGTTCGGAGTGTGAATGAAAATACAGGGAAGGCTGTATATTGAATTTAGCAGGCAGTTGGAGCCATTGAAGGTTTCTGGGAAGGGCAATCTTGTGATTAGGGTCAAGCTTTAGGAACATTAGTCTCGAGCAGCACGCAGGCTGAGTTAGAGGAAGTGGAAAAGATAGTTAAGAGAGGATGGTGCATTATTTTCCTTTCCATTGCCTCTGATACCTCCCCAGTAGAGACTGCCATTGCCCCTCATTCCTGTAAATGTGAATCTAGGAGCTACATGAATGGACCATTGATTGATCAAGGTCTGGGTGAGGATAAACAAGAAAAGGTGGCAAAAAGTCAATCTGGCATTTTGTGGCCAATGACAGAGATTCTTCAGACACATGGATGGCTGGTTTGGATGGCGACCAACGAGGAGTTTGAGGTAAGATGTTAGGCAAGTTGCATCTCAGATCTTGGTGGGATATTCAAGTGGGGTTTTCCCAGGAAACAGTTGTAAATTGAGATATGTAATTCAGGAAATAGATTAGGGATACTGAGTGGATTACAGAGTCTTCATTTAGGGTGGAAAGCTGGAAATTCAGGATTGAGAAAGATCTAAAGAGAGAGAATGTAGAGGAAAGAAGAAAGAACTATTGAGACACTTGCTTCAAGAGCCCATATTAATAGGCTAGTTTTTCTAGGATTGGTGATACTTTCAGCCCTTAAGAGTTTATACTTGGGCTGGGCATGGTGGCTCAGCCTGTAATCCCAGTACTTTGGGAGGCCAAGGTGAGAGGATTGCCTGAACCCAGGGTCTTGGGACCAGCCTGGGCAACTTGGTGAGACCTCATCTCCACAATAAATCAAAGAATAAGCTGGGCATGGTAGTGCATGCCTGTAGTTCCAGCTACTTGGAAGACTAAGGTGGAAGGATCGCCTGAGCTCAGCAGGTCGAGACTGTGGTGCCCATGAGCATGTCACTACACTCCAGCCTGGGCGACAGAGTGAGACTCCGACTCAAAAAAAAAAAAAAAGAGTTAACACTTGGCTAGAGTCTGTAATCTCAGCCCTTTGAGAGGCTGAGGCAGGAGGATTGTTTGAGGTCAGGAGTTTGAGACCAGCAACATAGCAAGAACTCATCTCTACAAAAAAATGTTTAAAAATTGCTGGGTGTGGGGGTGTGTGTCTGTAGTCCCAGTTATTTGGAAGGCTGAGGTGACAGAATTGCTTGAGTCTAGGGGTTCTAGGCTATGGTGATCCGTGATCTTGCCACTGCAAAGCAAGAACCCCACCTCCAAAGTAAAAAACAAGCAACAACAACAACAAAAAACCACCTGACCTAAACAGGAGATTCTGGAGTGGAGAGAGGAACCCTAGCAGTGAGTTAGGAGGATCTCTGATACCTTACATGGCCTCCACTTTTTATCTGTCCCAGATGTTGGTTTGGAGCTGAACCCATCCAGAAACATCAGAGCTGGAGATGCCAGGCAACTTCTTACCTGTGGCCAATTCCAACCTCACAGGAAATCTGAAGTGTTTCCCCACGGCACTTACCTGACAGGAAGTAAAATGACCAAAGCCAGAAGTCCATTATTTCTCCTAGAGCAAGATGCCATCCAAGAGCCTCCGGAGAGGGGAACAGAACCCACTGTTCTCTCAGGAACCTCTCACAATCTGGAGTTTGCAAAAGATTTCTACCCCCACAAAGAGCATGGTTTGAAAATGAGGAAATGACAACCTGTCTGGCTTGCTAATTAGTCTTAGGCTAAAAAAGAGACTACTAGCAAACCACAGAGGAAGTCAGAAGCTGAGAAAACATGTTGTGTTGGTGAGAATGGGTCGCTGAGGTCAAAGGGCCTCTAGGACGTCCCCCAAGGCTATTAGCAGATATCAGGCCTGATATTTCTTTGCCTTGGCACTTTTTCTTGGAGGAGCTTCCCATGCTTTGTTTATTACTTGACTCCCGAGCTGGAGTCATTTGCTTTATTTCTGCCTTCATGATAAAAGAGCCTCGTGACCAATTTTCCTGGCCTGAGAATGGCTATATGAACAGAAGCTGGGGCAGAAGGTACTGGTTGCCATCCTTACTGGTCACCAGTTAACTCATCTTTATCAATATCTTTGAGCCCCAACTATGTGGAGAGACTGGCTGTAGACTTTGAGCAATCCACTACTTTTCTCTGAGCCTCAATTTCTCCATCTAAAAAATAAATAAAGGTGGGACTAGGCAATCCCTGGCACTCCCTCCTGTAGAACTTGTTCCTGGGGCCTTAACAATAGTTCACCAGCGCCTCAGTCATCCCATCTCCCTAATCTGCCCCAACTGTCTCCCTAAGGTGGTACCTTCTGGCAGGGGCCTAGGCCTCTGTCCAGTGACCACCGGGGCAATGCTAGGAGTAGGGTGTGATAAGTCACATAGCAATTCAGCCTGAAGTCACAGCAGCCAGGTAGAGTCATCCTTTAGGACCCTGAGGATTCTTGTGTGAGGCCCGTTGACCGATGAAGAGAGAGGGGCTGAGGCCATAAAGTATCATGGAAAGAGCTTTGGATTCAAGTCAGGGGACCTGAGTTCTTGTCTTGGCTTGGACCTTTCTAGCTTTGGGCAAGCTTCCCCGGGCCTCCATTTTCTCATTGATCAAACGGAGATAGGCCCTTCCCAGCCTACCTCACATGGCTTTTTGTGGGGCCCAGCAGAACTCAAAGATATGGAAGGGCTTTAAGAGCTCTTTTTTTTTTTTTTTTTTTA